AAAGGAAAGGAAAGGAAAGGAAAGGAAAGGAAAGGAAAGGAAAATTAAGTTTAAAAAAAACTGTACATTTTGTGTGGGTTTAATAGGGCCATAAAAATGTTCCTAAAAGTAATAATAGTAATAATAAAATTTTAAATTTTAAATTTTGGATGTTTTATGTGTTTTAGATGTATTTATAATTTTAATGTTTTTTGTAAGTCACCCAGAGTCCCCTGTTGTGAGGGAGATGGGTGGGGGAGAAATCCAATAAAATAAATAAATAAATAAATAACAACAATAATAATAAGCAACAGACAGCAAATGCTGCCTCTACAAAAAAGCTGAAGAAACAGTAGATTACCTAGTTAGCTGCTGCAAGAAGATCTCACAGACTGACTACAAACAATGGCTTGACAAAGTAGCAACAATGGTTCCTTGGAATATCTGCAAGAAATACCATTTGCCTGCAAGCAAGAACTGGTGGGAGCACCAAACAGACAGAGTAATAAAAAATGAAGAAGCTAAAGTGCTCTGGGACTTTAGAATTAAAACAGACCAGCACCTGCCACACAATACCCCAGACTTAACAATTATTAATAAGAAAGACAAAAAAAGTCTGGATAGTGGACATTGTAATACCTGGAGACAGCAGAATAGAAGAGAAATAGCTGGGGAAAATCACAAAGTCCAAAGACTTGAAAATAGAAATAGAAGAACTATGAGAAAAAAAAGGAAACATAGTACCAATAGTTATAGGTGGCTTAGGTGCAATCCCAAAATAGCACCATCAACGAATTGCAAAAGGCAGCTTTACTTGGAACAGCTTATATCCTGCAATGATACCTCTAACACCATCAAACAGCAACATCTGCCTATCCCAGGTCCTTGGGAAGGACTCAACAGGTGGATAAAAGTGTCAAACCCAGTCTAAACATCTGGCTGACTGCCACCAATGCAACTACATCTGGCTATCACAGGTCATTGGGAAGGACTCTGTGAGGAAAATACTTTTTTAGGTGAGGAAAATAAGTTTTCAGAGTCTTCAGATGAATGGGTGCAATTAAGCAAAATTGAAACATAAAAGAACATGCAGCAGCCTTGGAGCTGGGGTGAACTAGGCTGGTTGTAAAGACCTGATCAGAACGTCCCTATAGCAACATTGGAATCTTTCTTGAAGGAGGATGGATTCCTTCTGGCTTTTGGCACCCTGAATTGATTTCTTCTTCTCAGTAAGACTATCGCTTTCATAGTAGATAGCAGAGGAGCAGGAAGAAAGTTGAGATCTATGACTTATGTATGCCTGTATCACCATATGACTATGTATGCGTTATTGCTTCCTTCCCCTTTTGTGAAATGTATAAATATCAGTGCATCTCTTTTGTTTGCAGGGGTGTCTCTCACTATCCCTTGGTGGGGTCCCCTCCAGTACATACTGTTTACTAAACACTGCAGTGAACCCTTCATTATTTGCTTTTGGGTCTTGTGATTTGATTCCACAGGTTCCCAGTAGTTGCATCAATGTAAGCCTCTCATACTCATTCTGTACTCAGTATAAAATCACAATTATGTGTTTCCATCACAAATTCATTTAAAATACCTGTTCCTGTTCAGGGTTCCAGTACTTAGGCAAAGGAATTGTAGTCTAGAAGAATATTAAGAATCAGCATTTTTGCAGCTCAATAATATTTTCTGAGTTTTTATCTTTGTGTGATTTCAGAATGATGAGGCAAATTTTTATGCAAGTACAATTTCTCATCAGATGGCCCAAACAACCAAGTCTCCAGGTAGCTCTTTAGCTTTATTTGTTTGTTTGTTTATTTATATTTCAAATTTATTCACTGCCCATCTCACTCAATGAGCAACTTTGGGTCTTTCTTGGTGTCTAAAAGAAAATGGGAAGGGAGAAGATTAAGAAATAAAGAAGGATAAATTGTCCCATTTCAAGGACAAAGATATTTCTGCAAAATAGTTATGTCCATAACGTTTCATTTACAGTGAAGACACATCTCATATATATTTTCTAATGATACAAACTGACTACTGGATTGGGGATGGTTATACAATTGAGCAACATTGCTTAAAGTGTTCCAAATGGATTAAATCAAGCAGTACTATTGCAACATTGCATTGAAACTAATGGCACAGATTAGTTTCTACCCATTTAACGTCTCCCATGAAGAGTTATATTTGATTAAATTCAGATGCATTGAACCATAAGTTTTGGATTCTTTCCTTTCTGACAAAATAGAACATGCATGGACCTTCCTGTTAACCATATCTTTTCCCTTTATTTTTAGTATACCAAGTGTAGAAAGAGGTTCGCTTTCTGGCAAAACTGACTTTTTTAGTCAAATAATGAAGCCAGCAGATCTCAGTTAATGTAACTAAAAGGCCGTTAGTTCTCTTTTTTGCCTCCCTCCGGTGCCTGCCTTCAAATGAGGATGGAATGTAATCAGGCCCTTCTGACCTAAATGTTCTACTATTCTGAGGCTAATAGTAATCTCAGGCAATAGTATATGGTAGTCCTTTGGGTCTGAAGAAGACACATTGTTGTGTAGTACAGCTGTGAACAAGGAGGTGGCTCTGTGGTCCCAGTCTGGAAGCACAGAGTCTAGGACAATGGGTGCACTGGAAGTCCATTGTTAAAATAACTGTGGGAGTTACTCTGTGATGCTGCTCATAGTTTTCCATCAGTTTTTGGCAGTAGCCATTGTCAGAGCTGGTGTAGGCTTCATAGCACAGGGCTCACCAGTGGGGTCTGTCAGCAGGCACAGCTTCTAGTTCCCTTGGCTTGATGTCACAGTGGCATAGGATTTCCCTCACAATGTCTTTATAGCACTTGCATGGATGACCTTGAGGTCTCTTTCTAGTCTCTAGTTCACCATAGAGCAACTGGCAAAGCATACAGTGGTTGTCCATGCTGATGATGTGTCTCACCCACCACATCTGGGCTCTGATAATCAGGGACTCAGTGTTGGTAGTTTCCGTGCAATCCAATCCTCCAGATTGGAGACACAATCTTGCCAACAAATGCTAAGGATGGAGCAGAGAGCGTGCATGCATGTGAAATTTCTCCAGTTGTTTAATGTGGCTTCAGTACAGAGTCCAGGACTCACATCCCTATAGGAGAGAAGGGATAACCCCAGCTCTGTAGAGTGTCAGCTTTGTGGAGATATGGATGTTGTGTTGGTTGAGTACTCTAGTACACAGCCACCCCAGAGCCTGGCTGGCCTTGCTGATCCTGTGTATCGGATATCCAGGGAGGGATTGCTCCCTAGACACCTTTAGTCCCCACCTGATGATCAGCTCCCACCTGTGGCTCCAAGTAGCTGTAACATGTAAAAAAAAAAAAAAACCGACTGGTCCAATAATTTCCAATTTAGAGGGCAGAAACATTCTTCTTCTCTAAGGATCATCAAACCTTTAATAGGGCTGCTGATCAAAAGAACTATTTATTTATTAAATTTATATGCTGCCCATCTCCCCCAAAGGGTGACTCTGGGCAGCTCAAAATTAAAATCACACCACATCAAAAACCGTAAAAAATAGAAATATCCACATTAAATTAGATTAAAAAATCATACTAGATAAAAAGACTATATAC